TTTACATACCGGATATATACAAACATAAACTTCTATTTACATTTGGAAACAGATATGAGAAGCTGAACTAGCGTTAAACTCAAAAATTGTTGGCAAAACTCCATATCGATAGCTTTGACATGCGGTTTAACTGAAGACTGAAGCAGCTCGATTCGAATGTGATGACAGATAACAAACTTACAAGGAGTTTGAAGTGGTTTGCTGACTCGAGAAAAAGTATGGTAGAAGCGCAAGCGAGACCAAAAGTTGCGGTGATAAAGAGCCCCTCCTGTAAACACGTATGAGAAATCGAATCAGAATATAGGAACACATATAAACAAAAATATGTGTTGTCTCAACTTATATCGATACCTTGAGTATACGAACGTTCAACTCCTTAATGTGGAATGTTCTGGTGAAGCTATCGAGTCCTAACACGCTTGTCCTTCAACTCAATCAAAAAGCCATAGCTTCTCCTTCTTTGAAGCAGTGCGGTTTCCCGTGGTGTTGGTTTGAGATTGCCCGCAATGTCTACCTGAACGGAGAAAAATAAAGCGAAGTAGAAACCAAAGCACGAGAGGAAAAAAACGCGGAGAAGAAAGTGGCAAAAACGATTTGAAGTATTCTTAAAGGCAGTGTCCGGGCAAAAACTCGATTTTGAGATTTTGTGCTTACCCGGGCCTATTCGCTATGCTGAATCCGAAAATCCACATCGTAGAGCGCGAAAACGACGAAAAAGGGCTCTAACACTGGAGGGAAATCAGCAAGTGGGCGGGGTCTTCCCCACTGTGAATTCACGCTCCCAGCTTCGGGGGCGATCTTTTTGATTCCGGTTTCGAGTCATTCGCTTGCACTTGATCGGTGGTGATGTCAGAGCGGCTAACGGATTCGAGAGAATTGCTCTGGAAGCTGGAAGCATGAATTCACAGTGGGGAAGATCCCGCCCACTTGCTGATTTCCCTCCAGTGTTAAAGCCCTTTTTCGTCGTTTTCGCGCTCTCCAATGTGGATTTTCGGGTTCAGCATAGCGAATAGGTCCGGGTAAGCACAAAATCTCAAAATCGAGTTCTTGCCCGGACACTGCCTTTAACACGGGAGCTCGAAAATAGCGCAAGCTGTGTGTCAGCTTGATGGCTATAGCCGTATAATTATAATTGGCTGCTATTAGTTTCCCCGGCAGTCTGGAAATTTGGAAAATTGCCGAGAAAGACTTTACTAAATTCCCCTGAGAACACCGTGCCTCGAATTTTGTGACGTCACCTCGAGGGGACCGCCTCAAGCTCCGCCTTATATGGCAGCCGCAGTAGTTGAGAGTGTCCCCCGCAACCCCAGAAATTTCACAGTTACCTACGGTGGGGTCCGAGAGATTGTTTGATTTGAGTGCTTTACAGGGCCTGTACTTGCTGAGATTTTTCCGTATTGCACCTCTTGCCGATATGGCCTTCTAGAGCAGCGCTTCAGCAAAACCTCGATTTGCTCAACTAAGGGTGAGGCCGAGCGCCTATGAAGTGACGCAAAGTTATCCAAGCGCCTATCTACCGGGGGAAATAATTGAAGACTCTGTAAGCAGCTCATTCCTAGAAAAGGTAACGCTTGGTGAAATCGAGCAAAAATGTCAAAGCCTTAAATGTCGCAAATTTAAAATCACAGTTAAATATTACAATATCACAACAAAACATAGCTTACAATACCTTCTGAAAAAGTAGTGGTAAACAATTTATAGTAGCGACCAGCTTTAGTGCAGCCTTGTCAAATTTGTCTACTTCTTCCCTGGCCAAAATCAACCGTGCTGAACAACAATGCTACGTTGACGTTTAAAATTGCTGAACATCACCATGTTTCATCAACATGAAAATATAATACGGTCATTTTCAATATGCAATTATAATTACGATCAACAATGTTTATCGGCAGAACATTACCTTCATTAATAGAAAGGTACGCAATCAAAACCATTATACCAAAAAAGCTGATCAATCTGCCAATGTTTTTAGCATATCTTTATTGTGTTAAAAGTTTGCATACTCTGGTGGAAGCAAACTTCTTTGTCAAAACTTTTGTGTGAAGGTTAAGCGTCAAAATCGGCTTTAGGAATTTTGATGGTTTGTGCGATTTGGATACAGTTATTGAAACTGGCTCATTTTGCGCAAGTGCTGCAAAAAAACTGTATGTTTTGGCTTTTTGAACCAGCAGGCATAAATAATTCGAGTGAAAAAGTTTGATATGTCTAGGACGACTCAACTTCAGAGGCATAGTGTGCTAAGATAATCCTAAACAAAATTTTTTCCAAATTTTCAAATATCTTAGAACTGGAGAAATCTACGCAATGCATTTGGCTGGCATCACTTTAGTCCATATTGGCTGCCTCCCAGGGCATTGCATGAGAGCAATCGCATAATGATTTGAGAAGTGGATTTTAGATGAGCAAGAATTATTGAAAGTTTAGGTTTACTGTAAAAAAATGGTCCATATCAGTGATGAAAAGAATAAGAAAAGCTTTTCTCTCAAAAAAAGCCCAGCAACATATCTCAACGATGTAAACACAGCCGTGTGGGTAGAAACATTGACGACTACCGTATGCCCACGATAAAGGCAAAGGGAAATGAGGGAAAGCACTGAGACACACACAGTGTAAAGCACCTGTGGCCATCAGGTTGCACAGGTGAGTGCGAAACAGATTACTTGATCACCTCAGCTGTCTTCAACCACTTGTTCGGTTTGTGAGTGTGAGTGTACGTTGTGATAACACCATCTCATCAAAGCTATGGCCTCCTTACGTAAACGATCCATATTTGAAAGTGAGTTTGCTTTTTCTGCTCAAGCAATGTCTGTTTAAAAAGGTAGCTAATGCTTTTTGACCTGACAATAGCACGACGAAATTAGGCACATGCTTTCTTCTTCCCTATATATTCTATATTCTTTCTTCTCCCCTATATATTCCTATATAATCTTTACTGTATTTTGCCGCTTCTACATTGTTTTTTTTTCAAATATTCAGCAGGCCCGTGCATAAATCAAACATAATTCGTTCTTATTTCTAAGTCTTGCGTCATGTTGATCACGGGTAAATACAATAAATTGAATTGCCTTGACACCTACAGTATACCTATGTACGAAAATTTGATACATGAGTTTGAAACAAGGAAAATAGTAAGCTAACTAGAGTAATAATACTAGTTTGTTATACAATTTAATTTTCGCAATCTAAAGGAGTGGAAAATCTTTTAAACTACTTAGTTAGAATTACGCTTCTTGCAAGTTTTTGTGCTAGTGTGCTAATTTTCTCGAACAAAAAAAACGAGATGATACTAAATTACTCAGTTTACGAATATGTATATCTAAAATCGTGAAAAAAAAACACAATTTTTAACAAAATAAATGAAGTCCATCCCAAAAAAATTGTAGCAGAATATGTAACCTTCTTCACAGAAAGCTTCACTCAGTTATTTTATCTAGATTTTGCTTTCATACATAGAAGACCTCATTTCTCCCGAAACTTCACAAGCTTCAAATGCAATGGACAGAATGCAAGTAAGTCCTTCCTCCATTCTTTGAATCACTGCTAACATAATATTTTTAGTGTCCGCTCTGCTCAAAATCCTACCTCACATTTTTTGGCCTTCGAAGGCATATGCAATGTCATCAGGACGGTCGAGTAGATCAAACATGTGTTCATTGCCAGAAGCATTACAAATAAGAGTACAAACTAAAGCCTTAGTATCTGTTTAGAAGGAAAAAAGTTGAAATCAGAGATACAGGCTGGTGGAGGGTTGTTTATCAGTATAAATTGTTCGCTATACAGTTCTGAGTCTCTCAACCTTCCCAAACTATGAGCTCCTCTATAAGTTTTCCTTAATTTCTTAATCTTCTTTCATCATTTTGACTCCCTATTGTACACAGCTCCTGACTTGAAAAACATATTTTTCGCAAAGATCAAAGATGGACATCAGATACTGTAGATGTAGTCAGCTACGGAAAAAAGCTGAAGTTTTTCCGATAGGAGCGCCTCGATTCGTCTTTTCCGGGTGGCAATATTTTGATGCAAGAGAGCACACCTGCGCGCACCTGTTCGTCTGGGTGTTACAAACGCAAAGAAAACCGGAAAGCTCTGAAACAGGTGCCGTGAGTGTAGCCGAACTTGATTTTAGTGATTTGTGGGGATTTTGAGTTCCTGTTGGGGGAAATGATAGCAAATTTCGACAGAATATTTGTGGAAATCAACTGTATCGTTTCTGCAGGTAAAACTTTTTTTTGCATCGCGCAGGATTTTGACTTTTTCTAGGTTGTAAAACATCTCTTCTAATAATAAATCACTATTCCAAACTTCAAACATAGAATCAAGTTATAATTTTTCTTTTGTAAAACTGTATTATAGTGCAGGCAAAGAGTCAAGCTGAATATCGCTTTTGGAACAGAAAACAGAGAATATCGTTTTGTGGCCGAGAAGACACGAAAAGTCGAAGAAAACACTTTTCAATCGAATTCTCGTTTTTTCGAGTGTTTTTCGGTGTTTAGGGCTCAAAGTTTAAAGGGGATCTCGCACAGAATTCTCAGGATCAAAGGAGACTTCGTTTTGAAATTTCCCTGGTGCCAGCTTGTGACGAGCCCTGTTCTAGTGAGCGGAACCCTCGATTAGGTCTTTAATGGGCGGATCAGAGAAAAGATGTTCTACTGTATGTACTGATGACTTGTACTGATGTACACTTTCTAGCTGCTCTTTTTGCCCTTTTAACGTTCTAAACCCTTTTTACCAGTTTTGCAATCTTGGTGAACTTACCAAAGTAGTCGTTGTAAGTAGTTTTTTCTCATCATTATTTTTTTCAAAAGAAGATTACCTAAAATCACCGTACACTTGGTGTGCCGTACAAATCACGTATTTTCTTAATTATGGTGCAATTGATTTTGTAGTCAATTTTCCAATGATTAACACTGCTTTTGAATTGGTTGCTATCCCAGCAAGATTTATAGAACTCTGAAAGATTGAGATTTACCATTTTGACCTCTCTCATGCACTATATTTCAGTCAACTTCATAGAAATGTATTATTAGACACTCACTCGACACATGTAGGAAACAATATACCTTTGCTATTGAGTGGCCTACTCGTTTGCATTCTCACTAAAGCATTTTTAAGTAAGTAAATTCTGGATTTTCGTTCAAAACACTCCAACTGAACGATTGAGAGGAGCCTGAAATTAATTCGCTTAAGTTGTACTTTTCCAGATCGTCCGGTGCATTGAAGATGCATCTCAAAACGCATTCTTTACCATGCGTTTGTGAAAAATGTGGAAAAAGCTTCAGTAGACCGTGGTTATTAAAAGGTCATCAGCGAACACATACAGGTATCTAATAGCAGATTTTTCTCCTATAATTTGCTCAATAGTTTTTGAAATTGTTCGATAATAGTGTTAGAGATATTTTAAGTAATTTATTGTTCGTTATAAAATGTCATTCAGGTGAGAAACCGTACTCTTGTTCGTTCTGTGGCCGGTATTTCGCTGATCGTAGCAATCTCAGAGCACATGAACAAACACATTTTCCGCAAAGGAAACATATGTAAATTTCTCGTCCCATTGTCAAAAAGTGTTTTTAAGGCAATGTGTATCTAGATGTGTCCACTGTAATCTGTCATTTGCTCGCGCTCAAGTGCTGGAAAAACACAAAGCAGTTTATCCCTCAAGACTTGATGAGAATTCGAGCTGATATTGTCAAAGAAAAAATAATAAAAATTATCTTATACTGTGTCTGTTTCTACAGAGATGAGAGATAAGAGTTTTTGAAAGGGAAAAAAGAGATGGAGAGTTTGGAGAGGAACGATAATTAAAGCAACTATCTCAAATTTTTTTAAAGCTCACTTTGAAATGGAGCTTACCAATAAATTTATGCATACGACATCAATAAATCTTCCCATTCTCTTCCATCACAACAATCGAAAAAGAGATGTGCATCATTTTTGAATCTCAACTCAATTCGTCAAGACTTACTTCATTGTGATGAATCAACAAGCATTACAGAAGAACAAAGGCCCTGGACAGGGCGAAAGAAGGACGAAGAGGAGGGTCAGTGAGTTGCGGTCCTAGGCTCTTACTTCTCTTCTGCATTTAGTTGGTCATGGATATGGAAAGAGACGTGGAAGAAGAGAAAGACACTAAAATGTCGCTTTCCTGTTTCGGAGAAAGCAAGATGTGAAGAGGGTTTCAAGAAGAAGGGCTTCTAGAGAGAAGGGGGTAAAGGTGAACAGCTTTCGTTTAGACACAGATGCCTAATTTCGCGTTCTTCAGCGTTCAAGGCGATCTCGTTCGCGCAAATCTAGGTCTAGATCGAGAAAAAGGCGTAGCAGAAGTAGAAAAAAGCGAAGCAAAAAGTCCAGGCGATCGCGCAGAAGAAGCAGGAGAGGCAGAAAGAGTGGGAAGGGCGGAAGAAGCAGAAGAAGTCGTAGAAGATTAAGAAAATCAAGGAAAAGAAGAGGACGAAGTAGAAAGTCGAGAAGTAGAAGGTCGAGAAGGAGAAAGTCGAGGAGGAGCAGAAGATCAAAAAGCAGAAAATCAAGAAGAAGACGAAGAAGAAGAAGAAGATTTAAAGCTGAGGTCATAGCGGATAATCGAGAACAATTGACCAAGTCACAGAGCTTGACTGTTCCCAGCCCCAAAACTTTACCGGATAAAGACGCAGCAATAGCAAATTTGGAGGCTCCAGTCACTCCGTATTCACCGATGAGGAAGGTGGGTGTTTAAAAAAGTAACAAGACATTTGATAAGTCCTGATATGTGATAGCGTTTGACATTCGAGCAACTGTTATCTATATAGCGCGAGCGGTTGAAGAGCAGTGAGGGTAATCCTTTTGTACGTGCTAATGGGCAATCCTTTACTTAGATACTTAGATGGCCCGGCACGTGCGGGCCCCAGCAAAGAAGTTCCCATTGATACTTGTCTCTCGCTTTGGACATCCACGATCTTCTTGGTCGTCGTCGGTGGCTGCGTCCACGAGTTCCAAGTGCAATAATCGTATCCAGCTGATTTCTCAGCTGGTCCGTCCATTCCACGAACACGTCTGCCCATCTCGTTGGAGGTCTTCCTCGGGGACGTTTTGCTTCGCGAGGAATCCACTCCGTTGTTCTTAGTGTCCATCTGTCGTCTGTTCTTCTCATAATGTGATCGGCCCATCGATGCTTCGCTTTCGCAACGAAATCCGCTGGGTCAAGAAGACGGGACATTCTTCTCATATCCGTACTGCGAAGTCCGACAAAATGTAGTTTGTGTTGGGTCATCTTAAGAAGACTACGCTCTAGCGCTCTGTGGGTGGTCCTTAAAGCTTTCGAAGTGGCTACGGTGTCAGCCCAAGTCTCAGCTGCGTAACAAAGCGCCAGGAGAACGGTTGAGTCGAACAGGTGGGCACGAAGCTCCGGGTCCGTCAATTGTTCCGTGGCTTCCTTCAGAGGCCCGAAGGCGGCCCAAGGGTTCTTCTTCTCCTGTTATGTTCTTCCTTCAAGTCGTCCTCCATGTTCATCGAACGTCCGAAATACACGTTAGAAGATATTTCCATGATGGGGGTGCCTTCCGATTCCATTTCTGCATCTTCACAAAGGGCGCTCTTCACGATTTGAGTCTTCTTCCAATTTATTCGCAATCCGATCTTCTTCCCTACTTCGTTCAGTTCCTTCAGCATCGTCTCTGCTTCAGTGATACTGCTCGAAAAGAGAACGATGTTGTCCGCAAAACGAATGTTCGACAGGAATCTCCCATCAACTCGTATGCCTCTCTCGTCCCAGTCCAGTGACTTCATCACCCACTGCAGGGCCGCGGTGAACAGCTCGGTGAGATTGTGTCGCCTTGTCGGAACCCCTTTCCAATTGGGATGGTCAGGGGGCTATGGAACAGCTGCATCGTCGTTCTACAGTCCTTGTAACAGTCGGCTAATGTCCTCACGTAAGCTGGGTCCACTCCTTATCGACTAGCGCTGACAGGATGGCGTTGGTTTCGACGCTGTCAAAGGCTTTTTCGTAGTCGACGAAGGTTAGGACGAGAGGCAGTCGGTACTCCTGGCAGACTTCTATGACCCTCGAAACCGTCTGGATGTGGTCCATGCAGCTGAATCTTTTGCGAAATCCAGCTTGTTCTTGGGGTTGAGCTTCATCCAGTATCCTAGATATGCGAGCGAGGATAATCTTCGTGAAGAGCTTGTACAGCACACTCAGCAGGCATGTTGGACGATAGTTCCGAAGATCCTTCCGTTCACCCTTCTTGAAAAGAAGGACGGTTCTTGACGTTTTCCACTGGTCGGGTTTCCTTTCCTTCTGAAGGTAAGATGTTAGGTGCGACGCGAGAATCTCGTGTAGACGTTGTCCTCCGGCTCGCAGAAATTCGACGGAAAGATGGTCTGGTCCTGGAGCTGGTCGTCTACATGGTCTGAATCGCTGCGCGCACTTCAGCAGGTAGAATTTGTGGTGGTACTTCTCCAGTGGAAACGACGGGCATTGGCACGGGTGTTGATGAGCGGAAGAGATTGGTATAGAAGTTCTTCGCGATAGATTCCATCTTGTATCGGGAAGAAGTCGGAGTCCGGTCTTTTTAATAGTGCAGCCAGCGGTACGTGATATTCACAGAGGTCCCTTCGGCACTTCTTGAGACTTCGCTTCCTTCGCTGCTTCCAGTATCTTGGCTTGCCTGTATTTCCTGAGATCCTCCTGCAAAGCTGTTCTGCAACTGGCGTCGGCATCAGTCGCTCGAGATGGGTTGCATTCGAATCCTGCCTCAGAAATCTTCTTCTTTCGAGCATTTCCTTGGTGGTATTCGGAATGCGTTCCACGCTCTTTTCGGAAGTCACTGAGGCGCACTCTCCGCAGGCTCGCAATCCTTTCAGAAGCCGGTCGTAGTCGTACGTTGGGTCCTCCTCGATGGGCCAGTCACAACTTGATATGAGCTTTTTCACCCTGTTACCGTCATAAACGACATTCTTCCTTCTTGCGGTACTGTGGCAGACCTTCTTTTCCCGCCTTCGACTGAATCGTACCTTCGCTCGAAGGAGGCGGTGATCGCAGCCACTGCAGAAGGATGGAACTACTGAGACATCGAGCAAGCTCCACCTTCGGTTGGTGAGAATGTGGTCGATCTTCGCGTGAATCGTTCCGTTGGGCGATTCCCATGTTCTTTCTTCATGAAGATGGAATTTCCATAGAAGAGTTCGTGCGGCGGAGAGAAGCCCAACGAGATGGTTGCCGTTTTCGTTCCGACGCCCACCCTGACATCTTTCTTGCACCGCCCGGCGCCGTAGGTGGGATCCGATGTGCAGGGTTTTTTCTATATCTTCTTGCTGACTGAGTAATATGATTTGTTCCCCTACAAGAGCAGACTTACTTGGCCTACTCTTGATTTCCACGGGGCGATCGCTGACCTCGGACTTGGAGCGGGGAGAACCGCCTAGCGACCAGAAGAAGCCAGACGGCGGAGGATCTGGCGTGGCCAGTTCTTAGCTAGGCATCCGGCCGAAACCGGAAACGTCGAACTCCTTCACAGCTTGGGAGGCCCTACCAGAGTATACACTCGGCTGTGCATCGCAGTTCGACACCGAGTGTCACTCCCACTCCACGATGAGGCGACCGACCATTGTGGGGGGCAATGGTAGGGCAATCCTTTGCTTAGGACTAAATTATAGTTCTTAGCAAGAGCGGAGATGTGTGCCATAAGGATTTCCGAGGAAATTTTTGGGAATTACAAGAACTAATACGTTGATAACGTGTTCATCTTCACTTTTAGAGTATAGAATTATTCCAGAAAAAAATTTCGAATCCGCATATATTTACGTATTGTATTTTACTGTGTAATGACTGCTATTTCATCGTGATCCATTCACTTTCGAAATCAAAAGCAGAAGGCCCCAAAAAATTACCGTAATCTTGAACAGAATGCGGCATCACGACAAATTCGCCCCTTTGTCGCTCACAGATATTTGGATGAAATTTTTTCAGCGGATTGACGTAACTCTTCTAACCCTTCCATTCGTATGGTATCAAGTTAGTCTTGCGGTTGTGTTCGAACCTTTTCAAGACTTTATGGATTCCCATTGAAAGAATTCGGAATCTGTTGTCAGCATCTAGGGTAGGTTCGGGTTCTCTATAAAAAGATCGAGGGAACGGCATTGTTGGTAAAGAATTTCTAGTAAGTTGTGCATGGTTATGTGAGAGTCGCTATTGTTTCTGACTCGACGTCGCAGAATAACGTAAGCGGTACAAGTTTGCTACGACCTTGCGATAAACTGAGGGACCGATGTTTTCACTGGAGAAAATGTCAAGTCCCATATCTTGCGCGATTCGTCCTCAATCCTCTTCCAAGTCACGTCTAGCAAAAGTCGTTTACATGCTAATTCTTTTGCATTACATTTCAAAATGCAATTATACAATACACTTAGACATTGGGAGCGGACGAGCCACGGCCTTTTTCCTGCTGGAATTTCGCAGCGTCCGCGGCCCGGCCAGAGAATGGGCCGCGGCTCGGCCGGCAGCCTCGGCTCGTCCGCTTTTAGGCCTT